GAGTCTTGATGCCACAATTCATGAGCTGAGTGTCCTAGGTGAAGCTCCATTCCCTGACTTGGAAAATGGAGCTAAACACAGAGCTCTTTCCCCAAGGACATTACAAAGATTAAAGGAGCACACAACATATATAGCAAGCATATAAACAGCATTAACTGTACTCTTGTCTATATTCCTCTTAAGGTGACCACATGACACTGAAAACACCCCAACAAAGGACATTTAGAAATGTCCTTTCACTGTGACGTGTGGGGAGTGGTAGAGGCAGTCTGGTGTGCTTGTCTAGAAATCTGACTTGCTCCCTGGCTTTCTCTCTGTGACCTTCCACTGGTCACTTTCCCTCTGTGGCCCAGAGTTTTCTCATCCTCAACAGCCCTGTCCAAGAGAAACACACGTGAGCTGCTGAAGCAATTTTAAACAGGTGTCTTTTTTTTTTTTTAATAAAAAGCCAAAGGAAAATAGAGTAATAGGAAAACAAATTGAATACTTATTTCTCTCATTTCAATGTATTTCTCATGTTATCATCTCATTTGTTCTTTGAGAGCTTAGTGGTTCTTACTTACAAGATCTGGCAATTTACCTGGAAGGGCATGGAGGTCCTTAAAACCAAGGGCAGAAGTGGAGATGAGCTTTCATTCTTGGTAACCTTAAAGGAGAGGCCAGATCTTGCAAAACAACTTACAGTGCACAGGAAAGACCCCTACATCAAAGGATTGTCCAGTCCAAAAGCTTAACAGAAGCCAGCCGTTTGACGCTTCTAACAAACTCCTGCTTGGATTGGCTGCTTGTCAAGGGCTCATTAGGCACATGTGTCCAGTGGCTGCCACTTCTGTCTGTGCAGACCTTTAGTACAAACTCTTGGACATGATCTTAGAAAAGTCAAGGTTTTAGAAGACATGGCTTCAACATATTTGTTTCCTGCTCACCCTTAAATAACTGGGCAAAAGATTTATTGCTGGTTTACCAGTCCCTGGTTGTCTAAGGACAGAGCCCATCTGTCCCTAGCTGGTTAGACTCTTTCAAAGCCTCCACCCGCCCCAGGGAGACCAAGGCTGGGTCAAACAGTGAGCCCTGTTGTTCTTGATGGGGGAAGACAATGCTGTAGGCCCTGCTACCTGCCTGACAGAGCCATTGTGGCTTGAGCAGAAAAGGGCTTTGTCAGGATGGCAGCCGAGGAGACTGCAGTTCAATAGGGCCCTTTATGTGTGTCCTGATAAGATTGCCCTGATGCCAGCCTTAAGCAGCCCTGCCCCCTCCTGGAGCAGATGGGGAGCCTGAGGCCCCACAGGGTATGGAAAGCCCTCCATGGGTCTCAGTCCTCTCTCCAGCTTAAAACACAAACTTTACCTGAGATTGGGAAGGTACATTGCAGCATAGAACAGACTCATTCCTGTGCTCCACTCCAGGCAAAAGGACGTCTACCCAGGACCCTCAAACATTGTAGTTCCTCAACTAACAAATCCATATAAAACTAAACATATTACAGAACACATATGTCTATCTCTCTCTTCACATCTGGACACATCCATAGCAAAAATAATTTAAATATACTTTGTTGTGTGAAAAGCCACTAGATCTTATGTGTTCTTAACACAAACATTTCCCCAACTCTCTCTCTCTCTCTCTCTCTCTCTCTCTCTCTCTCTCTCTCACACACACACACACACACACACACACACACACACACACACCCCAGCATGGAGTGGATATATTAATTAGCTTGATTGTGGTAATCTTTCACGTGTGCATGAATCAAATCACTACATTGCATTTCTTAAATACATGCAAGTTGGGATGGAGGAGCTGTCTTGGTGGGTGAAGGGCTTGTCATGCATGCATGAGCACTTGAGTTTGGATCCTCAGCACCCACATAAAAATGTCATGTGTGGCAATTCTCACCTGTAACCCCAGCACTGGTGAGGGGAGGGAAGAGCAGAAACAGAAGGATTACTGGGAGCCTTCTGGCTAGTCAGATCAACAGAAGTAGCAAGCTCCGGGTTCAGAGAGAGACTCTGGCCGACAAAATTAAATGGGGAGGGGGGTGCTGGTTGACAAAGACAACAGAAGCCAACCTCTATCCTCCTGAATGACTGAGAGCACCTCCACATGAATATACACACACATGCATGCTCATGCACATGTGCACACACATGCACGATCACACACACATGTGTACACACATGAAGGTTTTATTTGTCAATAATAACTCAACACAATTGGAAGAAATTTCAATGTCTAACCAGAGGGAAGCCATTTGGGTGTGCTTGCCTCTGTCCTTAGAACACAGGTGATTGAGTCTGAAGGTGTGGAGGGTTTGGGGCTGGGCCAGGGCCAGGGCCAGGGACAGGGCCAGTGTTCCAGCCTGTCTGTACTGCAGAAATGCTGAAGTACAAGAAAAGAAAAAAATTTTTGTGTCAACTCTTCCCTCTAGGGTAGCATGATCAGATCGAGTGATAGTTTCCCACCCAGGCCAGTCATTCCAGTTTCTGATTCACATTGATCTTAGAGATACTCAACCCCATTTGGGCTCTGACTTCACGCACATTCAGAGGGAGGCAGCACACAGGTCCACGGCCTTCCGTGTACTGCTCTTTCTGCAATGCCTGTGACTGCCCTTTCTCCTCCAGCCTCTGCCTATCCATCCCAACCCCACCCCAATGACAGTTCAGATACAGAGAAAGGACAAACAAGAAGCTGGGTTACTGGGCAGCAAGGGAAAGCAAGTGGCTAACCCAAAACGTCAAAGGAAACCATCCTTCAGTGAGCAGATGGGAAGCCACAGCAGGATGGAGTGGGGGTGAGGTGCCTATAAGGACCAGGCTTGGGAGCCCAGTAGGCTCTGGCCTCATGTCACTCCTCACATGGACTAGAAAGGGGCCTACCTCACAGGAAGTTTGATAAGATAAAACCTATGGGCATTAAGTCCCCAAAGATGACCCCACTGCTGTCAGAGCTGACCGATGACCCCAGTGCTCAGTCTCAAGTGTCAGGTGGCTTAGTGTGTCTGCTGACATCATGAGTTTCATCCTGGCATATTCTCTCTCTCTCTCTCTCTCTCTCTCTCTCTCTCTCT